GGCTCTTTTTGGCGGAGAGGTTTCATATGATTTAGCCAATCTCCTGGATTGATATTAATCTATTTAGAGTTTCAATTTCTTCTTGTTTCAAGTTTGAGAGGTTATGTGATGTCAGAGAGTGCTCTATTTCCTTTAGATTTTCTAGTTTATTGCAGACAGGTATTCATAGTAATCTCTGATAATCTTTAGAATTTCTTCATCAGTTTAGACTTTTCCTTTTTCATTTCTAATTGTGTTTATTTGGACTTTCTCCCCCCTCCCTTTTTTTTAGTCAATCTTGCCAGGGAACCATCAATCTTATTTATCCTTTCAAAGAACCAGCTTTTTGTCTTGTTCATCTTTTCTATGATATTTTTGTATTCTATATTCTGCAATTGTGATTTTATCTTAGTGATCTAGGTTTTTCTACTGAGATTAGAATTTAGATAATTTTGCCTTTCCAGCTACCTTAGGTGTGACATTAAGCCATTTACTTGTTATCTTTCTATTTTCTTGATGTGTGTGTGCAATGCTATTAATTTTCATATTAACATTCTTCTCATGGTATACCAGAGATTCCAATAAGATGTTTCTTTTGCCAGCCGGGAGCGGTGACTCAACCTGCAATCCCAGCACTTTGGGAGGCCAAGGCAAGAGGATTGCCTGAGCTTGCAGATTCAAGACCAGCCTGGGCAACTTGGTGAGACCTCGTCTCTACAATAAATCACAAAAACTAGCCAAACATGGTGGCATATGTCTGTAGTTCCAGCTACTTGGAAAGCTGAGGTGGAAGAATTGCCTAAGCCCAGCAGGTTGAGGCTGCAATGACCATGAGCATACCACTGCACTCCTGCCTGGGCAACAAGAATGAGACTCAAACTCAAAATAAATAAATAAATAAAAGATATGTCTTTGTTTAATTTTTTTCCAGGAATCTTCATTTCTGTCTTGAGTTCCATGCTGACTCAGAAGTCATTCGGCAGCAGATTGTTTACCATCCATGTCTTTGTGTGGTCTGGGGGTATCTTTTTGGTGGCATTATCATTATTTATATTCCACTGTGGTCTGAGACAATGCATGGTATTGTTTTGTTCTTTTTAAATTTGTTCATGTTTGATTTATGTCCAAGAATGTGATTGATCATGGAGTATATTTCGTGTGTTGATGAGTAGAATGTATACTCTGTAGATGCTGGGTGGAGTATTCTGTAGATGTCCATTAAATCCATTTGATTAGAGTTGAGTTAAGGTTCCAGATCTCTCTGTTGGATTTTTTGTTTTGGTTTTTTTTGGGGGGGGGTTATTTGTTGGATTTTGGGGTTTTTTTAGTTTTTTGTTTGTTTGTTTGTTTGTTTTTTGCCTTGGCTGTCTAAGGCTGTTCGTGGAGTATTTGGGTCTCCAACTATAATTGTGTGAGAGTCAATATCTTCTTTTAGTTTACTTAGTAGTTGTTATATAAAACTTGATACTACTGTGTTATGTGCATATATGTTTAAGATGGATATTTATTCCTCTTGAATTGATCCTTTTACCATTATGTAGTGTACTTCTGTGTCCTTTTTAACTTTTGATGGTTTGAAGTCTTCTTTGTCTGATATCAGAACAGCTACACCTGTTCTCATCTGTTTTTCATTTGCCTGAAAGATCATTTTCTAGTCTTTAACTTAGAGCTTGTGATAGCCCTTTACAGTGAGATTAGTTTCTTGAGGCACAGTCTGTTGGACCACGCTTCTTTATCCATTTTGCCACCCTATGTCTCTTCAGTGATGCATTCAGCCCATTTGCATTCAAATTAGTTATAAATGGTATTTTCTATTTGTCATAGGGCTCTTAGAGGGTTGCTTTGCTTCCTTTTTTTACTTTTGTACTTACATGTGTGTGTATTTTCACTTTTGTGAATGTTCTGTATGCTGTTAACTCTGTGCTTGCCTGTACTTTTGTGATGCATATGACCCTTCTCTTTTATTTGTGTTTTAACACCTTCTTAAACATCTCCTGAAGGATTGGTCTGGAGGTAGCATATTCTCTTAGGGATTGGATGTCTGAGAAGGATACTAATTCTCCATTACAGATGGATACTAGTTCTCCATTACAGATGAAGTGTAGATTAGTGGGGCAGAAAATTCTTGGCCGGTATTGCTTATCTTTAAGAACATTAAAAATTGGATTCCAGTCCCTTCTGGCTTGTTGTGTTTCTGCAGATAATTCTGGAGTGATTCTGATGGGTATCTCCCAGTAGGTGGTCTGACCTTTCTCTCTTGCTGCCTTTAGGATTTGTTCTTTCATGCTTACTTTGTAGAGGCAGATTACTATAGGATTTGGGGATGGTCTTCTCATGTGATACCTCGTGGGGTCTCTCTGAATCTCTTGTGCTTGAATGGTCACCTTTCTAGCAAGATGTAGGAAGTTTTCTTGGATGACCTCATGGAATGCTTATTCCTTGGTGTTCTCAGTTATTACTTTGATCCAGGGATGCCAATCAGGCATTGGTTTGGCTTCTTGATATAGTTCCACATTTCTCAGAGGCTTTGCTCTTCTTTTTGAGCCTTTTTTCTTTGTTTTTGACAGACAGGTTAGTTCCATATTTTGATCTTCAAACTCTGAGATACTTTCCTCTGCTTGGTTGATCCTGCTCCATATGCTTGTTACTGAATTTTTAATTTCCTGAATGAAGTTTTCATTTCCATTATTTCAGAATGAATCTTTCTGAAATTCGCCAACTCTGCTTTTACATCCTGTTTGATTTTGACGAGTTTTGCTTCTAGTTTCTCCTGTTCACTCTTCATCTTAGACATCCAATCTCTGATTTCTGTGGCTGTCCTCTTGGGCAGGTCATTCTGGGGAGTTCCTATTGTTTGTGCACTTATAGCTGCTTTTTTGGGTGCTGTTTCTTTAAGACTCTGAGGATTGCTTGTATTTTTTCATTTATTTTTCCTCATTTGTGACATTCCTTTCTTCCCTCTCTGTAATTCCTCCTTGGTTTTGTTGCTCTGATGCTTATCAATGACCCTCTGTTCTAAGGCCCTTTCTGTCATTCAACGTAGGTCATTCTGTGAAAGAGAAAGAGGCATTTACTTCTCCTTGCCCCATCCTGTGATAGGCCTCTCTGTCAGAGATTTTCTCTCCCACTGTTAAGTTGGTAGGGTTGGTTTTTTGCCCCTCATGCAAGCACTCTGCAGAGAGCAGGTGAAGGGATGGGTCACTGTCTGCCATCTGCGGTTTGTGACCCAGAAGACTTCCCAATGAGAAAGCCTTTGGTTGTCCTTCATGCTGCTCCCTCCCTATTCAAGTGACACTGAGTGAAAAAAGAGGAAGTTCTTTGCCATGGAAGTAAGGATCCACTCTGTGGGCCCACATGGTTGGGAAGTGATTCCTTCTGATCTAGTGAGTGGCTAGCTGCACCAGTCACCACAAACACCAGTCTGGTTCAAACTGTAGGTGAAATTTTCCAACCTTGGAGTGGGCCACCAGGAACTGCTGGCAAAGGGTGGATTTTCATGACTGTCCAAGCGTGGGTTTTGTTCCCCTTTGTCTTGAGCTCTGATCACCCACCCTGCTGTGCCCTGACCAGGACTCCTGCTGTGTGGAGTATGTGGTTGAGAGGGAGAACACCAACCTAAAACATCTTAGGACCACTCACCTCCTCTCATTCATTGGGAAAGGTTTCATTTCTTGTGAGAGCCTGATGCTTGACTGGGGATGGGATGCCCAGGTTCCAGCATCTGCCATTGCTTTCTGGTTTCTATGTGTTCATAGAGACCCTTGCTAGGTGCAGGGTGCTTCACCAATCCAAAACTGTTCAGAGTGCCTCTTTCATTCAGCAGCTGGGTCCTTACTCTCTGCATTGCTCACAAGAGAGGCACCAGTCTGCTACTCCGTGTTGGTCATCTTGGATCCTCTCCAAGTCTATTTTAATAGTAGTTTCACCACTTTCCAAACAATGACAAAACCATAAAACACTTGAAATGTATTTATCTTTTTATTGCCTTTTACACTATTGTTTAAATATATTTTACTTCTACGTGTGATAAATTCCATAGCAAAAAATTTAATATTGCTACTTCAGTTAGTATTCTTTTATATTTATCCAAAAAGTATCTTTTCCAAGAAACTTACACTCCTTCCTCCAGTTCAGTTCATACATCTGGATTCATTTACTTTAGCATAAAGAAGATCCATTAATATTTCTTACAGTTTGACATTGCTGGCAATAAATCCTGTCAGTATTTGCTTCTCTGAAAATGCTGTTATGTTACATTTATTTCTGAAGAATATTTTTGCTAAATGCTAACTTGGCTTGCTTTTATTAATTCCCTAAAAATGTCAATCTACTACTTCAAGTTTTCATAGCTTCTTTTCAAAGTTCAGCTATAGGAGATATTACTACACTCTTAAATATAATATTTCTTTCATTAGCTGGTCTTGATATTTTGCACATACCTTTCCTTTTCAATAAATAAACTAATAATAAATCACTTCCTTGCTGAGAAGTTTACTTTGACTTTAACTAAAATAGTTACCTGAACTTTTTTTAGATTTGTGTTAGCATGTGATATCTTTCTAAATTCCTTTGCTTTTAATCAACCTATATCTCTACAAATAAAGTCATTTTGTTTTGGAAAACATATAATTACTCTTTAAATGTTCATTCTGACAGCACAGAAAAGCCAGTCAGACCTACTTTATCCAATGATGCTCCAATATATACGACTGCACCCCTCTCCTGCTTGGGAAGCATCAACAATTCTCTTGTCCAACAAAACAAATGTCAAATCTAAGGCTTGGTCACTTTGTTTCTGTTCAGCCTTCCCAGCATTAACATCCCGCCTCTCACAAACCTTTTAATTCTGTGCCTATGTATCAAGGCCCAGAGAAGTTAATTAACTGGTCCAAAGTTCCAAAACAAGCAAACCTGCAGCTGTCCTATCACCAGAGTCTGTGCAAGTCTTGTAGACTCCCAGTTCTGGTACTGTTCATTCATACCATCCCCTAATGACCTGACCTCTTGCCCATGGCACTCACCATCTTTGTCTGGAGTGAGGAAGGTATAGAAAGCTGGTGAGTTCAAGGACTCCACAAACTAGGACTCCAATTTGACGCAGACAGCAGTTTTAGCTCCCCAGGGAGAAGGAGGAGACTGATGGCCTCAGGGAGGTTGCTGGAAGGCAGCAAGATTGGCAGGTTTGGAGGGTTGCCTTCTGGCGTAGGCCTGGAGCTGTTGGGTAAACTCATTGTTGGGACTTCTGGCCCAGATGACCCCAGAATTTGCCTGGTGCTCTGAGGCCCCAGCAGCTGGTCATGCTGATTCCAGGGCCTTCCAGGAGGCAGGGTAGGGGTAAAAGGAGTGGTGGGGAGAGGTTCTCCAAGGACAGAGGTGGTCGTGGCACTGCTAGAACCTGTGGAACTTGGGTACGGGGATATACTTAGGCTCTGAGGAGGTGGGGGCCCGGGTCTGGCAGGTCTAGGAGACTGCGGAATTTCGTGTGTATGGGCATTGAGATCCCCATCTTAGAAAGTGATAGACTTGTGGAAGTTTGCTGTAGTGGGGCACTAGATTTAAGGGGTGATAAGATTTTAGGGATCTTGGGTAAAAGGATCCCAGGTGTGGGGTGTGCCTGGTTGTTTGGGGTCTTGGGAGCAGGAGCCCTAGGTCTGGTGCGTGGTGGGTTTTGGCGAATCTGAAGTGTGGAGACTCTAGGTCTGGGCTGTGGCAGGCCTTTGGGTGACTGTGGTGTGAATACCTCAGGTTGGGGGTGTGGTGAAGCACCAGGTTTAGAATGCAGTGGAGTAACATGTTTTACCATGCTAGATTTGGAGGGGGCTGGGATGCCGAGATTCAGAAGTGGGACCTGCGTCTTGGAATTTGTGGGCAGTACAATATCAGGCTTCTGGTGTGCCGAAGCGCTGGGCTTCAGAGGCAACAGACAACCAGAGTTTGAGGGCACAAAGACAGCAGGCTTCGTCCTGAGAGTTGGTTGGGTCAAGGTATCAGAATCCTGTTGGGCTGGAGTTTGGGGCTTCGGGTGTTCTGGGCTTGATGGGGTACTCGGGTTCTGTCCCAATGGCTCCAACTCCTTGGAACTGGGCATCTTGGCAGAGACAGTAGCAGTTGAGGATAAGTAGAGCTTTGGTTTCACAGGCATTGATTTGGGGGAGACCTTGGGCACCAAGACAGGCTGGGCTGTGCCCGCCCCTAGTCCATGACTGCTGCTGGGTGAAGGCATGATGGCATCTAGCTCGGCTGTGGTGGGGGTCTGCCTCCTGGCCTCCTCATTGGCCTCCTTGGGCTGCACCATGACTAGTGAAGTCAGAGGTGTGACAAAGTTGTACTCAAGGGACAGGTTGAGGACGGTGGCAGCCAGCAGGCGCCGAGTGGTGGTGTCGCGGGCTTGGAAGCGTGCATCCAGCAGCTGCCCGATGGTGACATAGGCCCAGAGGCGGCGGATGAAGCGGGCCACAACGGGAACTGGCTCCCCCGGGCAACCAAAGGCCTTCTGGCTGCTGTTGGTAGCCTTTTCACTGTGGTGGGCCATGAGAAGCTGACCTTTGGGGCCACGGGCTGCCAAATGGATGCCCAGCTCCTGTTCACCTGGCTGCACCTGGCCTGCCACCACCAGCTCTGAGCCACCAAAGTAGTTAGGAAAAAGGGTCTGAGGGGAGGCTCCAACCAAGCCTCCCAAGTAGTCCAGATGCACATCTGCCAGCAGAGGCATGGAGATGTCCTCATAGAGGCCCTCCAGCTGGAGGGCCGCGTCGGTGTGCTCGTATATACGCCGGGCATCTCCCCGGTTCTCCAGAGACAGGCGACGTAGCAGTGGGAAGTCAGCATCATCCCCAAAGGCCAAGCTGAAAAGGGACACCCTGTGGCCTAGTGCCTGACGGACATTGGAGAGGATCACACTGGGGGTCGTCACGCCGGCTGTGGGCTCCCCATCTGTCAGGAAGATGATAAGAGGGATCCTCCCCACACTGGGGCTCCTCCCAGGCTCCTGGTTGCTATGGTTCAGCACCGAAGCAGCTGCCAGCAGAGCTGCATTGATGTTGGTCCCTAATTGGAGAGCAGACTGTGAGACCCTCTTTTCTGGTAACCTCTACTCCCGTCGCAGGGCACACTGGGCACCTCACCAACCTCCCAAGCTCAGTCACATCCCTTCATCTTTGCTCAGGCTGTGTCTGCTGCTTCTCCTTTCCAACTCCCCTGCCTCCGCCCCAACTCCCCGAGTTCAGACAGACGGGTCCACGTATCCTTGGCTTTTATCACTCCCCGTCTTATACTGTTCTCTGCCTGTTTCCTGGGGGGATGTCTCATCCCCAAGGATAGCAGCCCCACCTTCTTGCTACAGGAGAAGAAAGGGCTGAGTTGACAGGTGGTGGTGTGTGGGTGGGGGGACTTCAGTCATTGCCTGAGAGATCGTTGGTCAAAAACTAGAATCAAGGCAACAGCTTATTCAAATGCCTGGAAATAAATATCTAGAGTATTGACTTAAAGAAAGTTGTAGTAAAGGGTAGGATGCTGAGGTCAAAGAAACATGTGCCTCGAGTTACATGGACAATCAGCTGTTCTCTTCCCACGAGGAAAGGGAGATGGGAGGAGAGCACAGAAGATCAAGGGACAGATTTGTGTAAAATGCAGTCGTGATAGTTCAGACACTGCGAGAGATGAAGAGGATGGGGAAACGAAGAGACCATTTCAAGAATTTCTCACATCACCAAGCCTGCCTATTTGGGTGGGTAGGTCCAACACTTACAGCCATCAGCTTCCATGCGCCCCAGGTAGTCCTTGGCACTGTGGACATTCTGGACGGTGGCCTGGATTGAGCCTCCAGCTTCCCAGACACTAACAGTATCAGAAAAGGAGATGATGTTGAAGTAGTCGCTGGCTCGCAGGTCACTGAGGATCACATTCATGGCCTTTTTAGTCTGCGGGATATGGATGAAACGGAGGGGATGGGACAAGACTTGGGGTCAAGGAGCTTGAAGGGTTCTTTCTTTACAAAGCACTAAGGTCTAAGTGTTGTATGGTTTTAAAATCCTCGGACTCAGCACTCTGTGAATCTAGAATTCTCAGGTGAAAATGCACTGTGGCCGGGCTTGGTGGCTCAGCCTGTAATTCCAAGAATTTGGGAGGCTGAGGTGAGTGGATTGCCTGAGCCCGCGGGTTCGAGACCCGCCTGG